GGGAAGATAAATTCAGTAGAATAAGCATTTCAATTAAAATCAATACATTCTAGACTTTATGCTTCAGTCACACAGAATGTAGATCTTTACCTTAATCCATGACCCACCTGCTGGTAAGGATCCCTTTTGCTGTGATGCATGTTGTAGTTGGAGAATATGGAAGCAGTCATTTAAGCAGTTCATAGTTGCCATGGAAGTTGCTTTTAGCATTAACAGGTCTGGATCCAATGATGTAAGGTGACCGGAGGCAGGAAGGCATTCTATGTTTCTGATCAAGTCTCTCTGCTGTCCCTCAGCCTGAGACATCATCTATCAAACAAAACAGTGCTGGTGTCAGAGAAGATGATAGACATTTTTGTGGTATACAGCTATACTGAAGTGCTTCACAAACAGATGACCCTAAAGAATATGACAAACTTAATACAAGTCCCAAAGAATAAGAATTAGTTTTATATGTGTCAAAAATAAAAAGTACCATCTTGTCACTTAAAATGTATGGTTAAAGATGAACTGCAAAAGAAAAATATAAATTAAACACATTTCTGTGCTGAATGCTCCACTAAACCTTCCACGAAATGAATGCCACAAGTCCCATGCAATCCATGGTATTTATTGTATTACAGTTAGATAGTGAGACAATGTACCAAGAAGATTTTACAAAGGAAAAATATATGTGAACATATTAACAACCTTATTAAGTGCTGAGTGCTCTCCATGCTTGGTTGATAGGTACATACAATATTGAAAACCATGCTTTATATAGAACACAGTAGCAAGCTCACTGCTATACAGAACATGGAAGTTGACACAGTCTATCTTGTGGAATCAATGGGATGGGTAAGGGTGTTCAGTACCTTACAAGATAGGATGTATTCAGTGCCTTAAAGGGTCAGGCCCTAAATTACACAGAGATAGTTTGGCTCAAACTTACATCATAATATACATATGTAAAATATGAACGACAGGTTGAAAAACAAGCGTTCCTGTAGTCAGTGGATTTCCTCCCTCTCCCCTCCCCCATTCTTCCCATGCTGCTCCTTCCCCCAGAGCAAGGTTAGACAACACTGTCAACTCTACAGCCTGTGCCAGCTACCATCAGTGAAGCTACAACAGTGACTAATTATTGGTCCCACATTTTGTGGTGAAGCCTAAAAGAAAGGCACATGCATTCATACACAGTATAGTGTTGGGGAAACTAAACAATTTGTAGGTTAAAAAAAAAATCACTAAGACAAAATATTGCACAGGTTTTCTGTGATCACAGGTACTATCTATTAACTTCTTTTTTTATTTTACTAGTCTCTCTTCCTGGGTAGAGGCAACAAATGGAATACTAAGAAGAATCCTGCTGCTCTCTAGATTGTTACAAATTTCTGTTAACTGCCTGAACACAAAAATAGAACTGACAGGCAAAGGAGAATGAGTTTCTTGCATGCGCTCATGTCACATTCATGCATGTGTCTGATTTCAAACTGGCTGGTGAGGTTTTCAGTTTACCCACTGACAGTATCCTTTCACTCGGTTTTCTATCAATCTCATAATATGCAGTCTCTACTAGGCAATGGTTTTTAGATTTCAAAGAAATATTCAAACAATACTGTACATCAGCAAATCACAAAAATTGTTTGAAAATCTCACGGTATTATTTGGTAACACTATATTCCTATGTCTTTTGCTAACAACCGATTACCTACACCTCTACCTCAATATAACGCTGTCATCAGGAGCCAAAAAATCTTATGTTATAGGTGAAACTGCGTTATATCAAACTTGTTTTGATCCACCGGAGTGCGCAGCCCCGCCCTCTTGAAGCACTGCTTTACCGCATTATATCCGAATTTGTGTTATACCGGGGTAGAGGTGTACCACCAGATACTCTACGATATACATGTCAAATCCACCTCTTCTTGTCACAGTATTCTCTAAATGGCTTACATGTGAACTTTTCAACTGTCCTGAAAACTGTGCAGAGTAATGCTGCAAACTGGATTTCAGGATCAATCATGCCTTCGAGATGTTGTGGTAGGTACTGTACAAACACAGAAAGAGACCATCCCTGCCTCAAAGAGATTCATAGTTTGCAAAGCTGGAAAAAAAGTTACAGGATAGCTTCAGGTTATGCCTCTCATCCTTTATTAGTCTATTCTAGCTTATGCCACCCAACCTCCCTATTAACTCAATGGGATAAAGAAGTGTACAGAAAATAGCCAGTCAATCATGAAACCTCTCCTATTGCCATGCAAGCAGAATGAGAACAGCTGCACTCGACACAGTGAAACCATTCACAGGAGAGTACTTAAATCGCCCAGACATGGTTCTTTTTTTTTTTTTTTGCACTCTTTCAAGGATTCTAAGTTTCCCTCACCCAACCAGGTTCATATACAACAACAGTTCACACACAGTTCAAAACTATCAACCGGTCCAAAGTACACTTGCTATATTTCCTAGCAAAAGAGCACATCCAGAAGTACTGCTGCTCAGAGTAAAGTGGTCTCTTCTCTTAGGCCTCTTGCTTTGTAGTGCAAGCAACTACCTCAAGGTTTCCAAAGCACCAAGACAACATACAGATTCAGTTAAGAGCCAAGAAAGTCAGGAAGTTGAAGTTTTGTGCAGTTTGGGGTTATTTTTGGTCTGATTATGTGCAGATTTTATACAATTTAAAGGAGGATTGTGCATTGAGCATTTAGAAAGACTGGTTCTGCCGCAGACTTTTGAACTGAGACTGCAACTAGTCGAGCAATGGTATATCGAAGTATAGCATTAATAAATGAACATATACAAGTTTATAGAAGGTTAGAGAAGGTTACGGGGTGACTTGATTACAGTCTATAAGTATCTACCTGGGGAACAAATGTTTAATATAGGGCTCTCCAATCTAGCGGAGAAAGGTTAACACAATCCAATAGCTGGAAGTTGGCACTACACAAATTCAGACTGCAAATAAGGTGTATATATTTTTTTTAAATGGTCACAGTAATTAAACCACTGGAACAATTTACCAAGGATCATGGTGGAGTATCCATCATTCACAATTTTTAAATCAAACTCAGATGCTTTTCTAAAAGATATTTTCTAGGAATTGTTTTTGGGAAGTTCTATGGCCTGTGTTATACAAGAGGTCAGACAAGATGATCACAATGAAGGCCTTATACTTCACAAATTGGTAAATTCTATGTTATAAATTCTGACACAGAACTTTTAGACATGCCTATCAACCAAGCAACAACACACTGAGGAAAAGAAAAGCAGTCTGGCATAACACATTTAGATTAATAACGGACCCTGATAATCCTTGTCTTTATGCTTCCAGAGCCTCTACTGCTGTTCCTGCATAAATTTAGAATTACACCAGATCACTCAGTCCAATACTGTAATATTTAAAACCAGAAGATTAATATAAATTTTCTACAGGCCTGTTTCTCTCTCTCTCTCTCTCTCTCTCTGTAACTTTAAGAAAATCCTTGCATATCACTTCAAACAGATGCAGGGAAAATCAAAGTTCTGCCTAATGCACGGTGGCCATTTCAAGGGGACTCAATCTATGCCTTCATCATTGCACTCTGCAAAAAGAGAGGACCTGAATCGGAGTGATGTCTCACACTTAAGAAATTCCATGCACCACCTGGAAGTTTAACCAAAATCTTCTTCGAAGTCTCCTCAGCCAAAAGAAAAGTACTGTTCAAGAACAGCAAAACAGCAATATACAGAAGGATAAATTGTTAATACAGCTACAGTATAACTTTTACATGAAGACTAGTATCAGTGTAATTTATTTTCTCTTCTGCTCTTCCTTAAGTTTTCTATTCGTATGTGACATGAGGTAAAAAGGGCAGGTAGCATCCAAATTTACTGTATGCTACATTAGCTCTACCAATGTCAAATCCATCTCTTGAAAGGAAGGGCATTTCTGATATACTGAAGTAATTAAAACAGTCTACCGTTGCAACTTTATATGTTTAAGTATAAACATGAACTTGTTACAACAGTTTTCAAACTAAAGGATAAAGTGGTTTAACAAGCTCTTAAAACAGCAGAAACCACAGGAATGCAGATTAAGGTTTTTCTAGGCACCGAAGGGTACTTCATGTCTTAATGTTAGCAGTTGTTTAACCCTGCTATTACAAGAAGAATATAGCATGACAGTGGCAGTTATTTTTTTCCCAAAACCATTGGGGACACAATGTCCAAAAGTTTAATTTTCCCCTTTTGGAAATGTTATTTTAAAACTCATCTTTAAAACGGTGGCTTTTTATCTTTTCTCCACATCTTTCTTTTGCTTTTTATATTTTACAAGCAAACTTTATAAATCACATTGAAGCCCCTACATAGTTGTCCTAGTTTGTAAGAGACATCTGTCCGGTGTAAACTGATACCATAAGATCCGTGAAATACAGGTCCCTTTGAATCATGCTTTACTCTACCTATAACTTATAATATTCTCATCCCTTTCATGATGTCTCCTTCCTTCCTTTTCTACTTTCTCCCCCCTCCCACTTTTTTTGGGGGGGGGGGATGGGGGTATTTATGAGGTTAAATTCTCTTTTCCTTAATCCTTTCCTGTGACAGGGGAGAGGTGAAAAGGTCTCTCTTATGTGCACCAAACCCACCATATGTGCAAGCTGACCTAAAACTAACTTACTACTGTAAACACAACACAGCTACTGTGCTCTTACTTACAAGGTGTGTTTTAAAGAGAGCATGTATCTACTAAACTCACTACCTAAAATAGTTTTGAATATAACACCTGCAACTGGGGATAGATATGTGTTGATTCAGGGCTACCACTTTAAGGACTGCCTGGCATGCTGGACAAGTCCTCAGCTATTTAGGGCACTAAAGTCTGAGGGGGCTTGTGGGGGAGAACAGACAGTTGAGCAGGGCTATGTGGAGACTATGATGGGTGGACAGCACTGTCTAGGACATACAGTATAGGGAGAGGAAAAGATGGGCAACGTTTCACCTTCAGGGGAGACACGTAGCTGAAGATAAGCTCCACTGTGATGATCCACAGGCAGTTCATGACAAGGAACTTCTCTTCAGCCTCACTTCTCTGACCCACATTTGTTCACAGCATTTTAAAGTAGAATGAGGTATTAGAATTGGTGGGGAAGGCGATGTGGGAGGCATGAGGGAGTAGTAGAGATGTGGGAGAGGATGGGGCTAAGAAAGGCATGAGGGAGATGAGGGGTACAGGGACCGTTCATGTCAAGGCCATTTCCACACTAAAGACACCAATCTCATCTTGCTTGCCTTACTACCCAATCCCCACAATACCCAAACACAGACTCCATATCTCCATGGTAAACTTC